GGAAAGCAAAGGGAAGTCAGACACTGGTTTGCTCAGCAGTCCTGCCTCAGCTTTTATCATGAGCTCAACTGCTGCTGAGCAGAAGGCTTGGGGTTTTTTTGCTAATGATGTCATCCTTGGAAATAAGACATAGTGTCATTTGATGTCATGTCACTCCATAGTGCCTGTCCACTTGATGCTTGCAGGATGTTGAAGAGGAGGCAAGGTGTAAGGATGTGGGAGATGGCCATGAGGGACAGCTTGCATGGATCCATCAGCCTAGTCCTTCCAACATGTGGTGGTTCCCTGGAGGAGCCTGGCCCAGAAGTGCCGCACCTGAGTCTCTTTAAAGCATAGGGCATAACCTCCTCTGCATGCCAGGTCTTCCCTCTGTCTGGCCTTGCAGGGTGGTGAAAGTGCTCTGGGAATGATGGGCCATACTCATCGCGCATTCCTCTACCAGGAGTAGAGGGGAACGAGGGAAGGGAACAAGGTCATCTGCTCCACAGGGAAGGTACCCAAGTGTGAATGGTGTGTCCGCTTGCAGCTCCTATGCAGTGCCCTCACTCATACTTCATATTCAGAGGCTGAGCACCTCTCTGAAGGACTTGTCTGGAGCTTCCTTATGTCTTCCTTGAGTTTTTCTGCAAGGAACTTGTTCATTCATCACTCAGACATGCTACTTCCTTTGGAAACCTCTATCTTAACATTAACCATAGCTCCTAGTTTGGTACGTTTTGTTTTTCTGTCCTTCCTGGTCCTTACTGGATTTCTTCTTCATGACATTCTAGGTCTGTGTCCTCTTTCTTTTTTTTTGGAGAGATGCCCTACAGCTTAACCTCTGTGCAAGGCAGCTCCAGGGAGAGCCTTATGTAGACTCGGAGGCTAGACCTTCTGCTCATGCTAATAATTACCACACCTCACCATCCACTCCTTCCGTATCCTACAAACACGTATGTTTTAGCCAAAATTTTGGTCGTGAGACTTCTTTCTTTGAACTTCTTTATTCAACTATTTCAGGTCAACGCTTCCCTATAACAAGGTGAAAACCAAAACCTTGAACTCAGTGAATCTCTTTTGCTGTGCTGCATGCCTGAACTCCGGGAGGTTCAGAAAGCCTTCATTTCACAGCGCTAAAGGAAAGTCCTTGGGTGTGGGGAATTCTTGAATGGATAACCCTCCCGGTTTTGATCTCTCCATCGAGAGCTGAGCTGCTCTTTGGAGGATCGATGAGCCAGCAGTGGCTGGAACGTGCGTAGCTGCGTAGGGAGCTAAGGAAAATGGCTGTAGAGACTTTGGAAAGAATAATAAAAGAGTCGATATAACTCTAGAGTCAACCATAGCTTATGGAGTTGGCACTGAGAGGAGAAGTGAAGTGGCTAAGCTGTCCATGAATGGGTGATTTCTGCTGTCGGCCATTGAGGGTGGCTGCTGTCTGTCTGCAAGTATGCTTGCTTTGGTCTCTGTTTTTTCATTTTCTGAGAAACTGGCTTTAGCTGGCACAAGCAGATGTTCCTCCTGCCAAACTGTCTGGTTTTTCCTGAAGTCCAGATGGGGGAGATGGGTGCTGGGTGCAGTGATGCCTCTACCAATGAGTATTCCTCAGCGGCTGCAGCGAGGGATGGTCCAGGGGGGACAGAAGCTGCTGGAATTTAATCTCCATGTTTACTATGTCTGCAAGGAGCTGCAGACCGCTGTCTGAGGACATGGATGTGCAGGAGGTGAGTGAGGACGAGGGTTAGATCGGGCTGATCCTCCTTACAGCTCTTGCCAAGCCCAGCTCCTTCACTAGGTGCTGACCCACAACCATTTCATGGGAGCCTAGATGAGGGCAAAACCAACCCAAACCTCTGCTGAACTGCACCTTCCTTCTGTGTTTCCATGAGTCCCATGGATTTGCAAGGGGGTAGCTTAGATCCACAGGCCAGCATACGTTGACACTGAGATGTTTGCTACCCAAACCGTCTACCTCTTGATGTTTCAGAGGGACAAATCCTGGGCGGACCTAGCCTTGCCCACACTAGCTAGTTTCTGCCTTCTCAAACCCCTGCAAGACACCAGCTCTGTCTCAAGGACTTGCTCTTCCTTCATCGGCATCTGCAGCACGACTTACACGGTGCTAAAGATGGTGAAACAGGAAGCCTGCCGCAGCGGATTTGCTGCTATCTATATATCCTCTGAGAGGTGCCTGGGAAATACTGTCAGGGCCACGTCTGAATCAGCCTAAAAAACCCTGGCTGAAAGGGCAGGGAGCGCCTGGGCTGGGGGTGGAGGGCAGGAGCTGTTTGGGCTCCTGTCTCCATGGGATCCCCTACACACACGCACTACATGTGCTGTCGCTGGGGCTGCTGAGTATTTCCACCTGCCTCTCCCTCAGACCCATGGAGATATGGATCTGGGCCATCCCAGATCCCACAGCAGACCTGGAGGGTTACCTTGCTTGTGCGGGGTTGCGTGGGGCTGCTGCCCTGTGCTCCGCTGCCTCTTCCTGCAGTGAGCCCTGGGGCTGCCTGCAGCAGCTCCACGGGTTTGGTTTTTTTTTAAAAAAAAAGCAGTTGTGTTGAAATATTTCACACGGGGAGGAGCTGCAAATGCTTCCCGTGTGGTGAGTGAGGTTAAAAGAGCACGGTAGCGATGGATGGCTCGCTTGGGGATCGCTCTTATCGGAACTGGATTTGGGGGTGCAGGCTCTTTCGCCTCTTCATTCCCCAAGGGCAGAGCTGCTCCCAAGCCCTTGGAGGTGAACGGAGCCACGTCCTTGTCCATGGATAAGCCACCCTTTGTGTCTCCAACAGGAAATTTTATTAGAGGCCTTGCAGATTGATGGCTGTGAGCAGGGAGCCCAGGCTCCCCACAACCTTGAAGCTATATCTAGTGTTGCAGGTTGATGGGGGGAAGAGAGGGAAGAAGGCTCCTTCCTCGGCACCCCTGAGGAAGAGCACCTCCCTGGCTCCTCTGGGGTGGCTCTGCTTCCCCACCCCATGGGTAGAAGACATCCTCCTCCTCCCCACCCCTCTGTCCTCGACGGCTGCCCTCTCCTCTGGGGCT